TGGATTTTGGTACCCTGATACCTTAAGGTATTAAAGGCAGACGATAGAGCGTGATGCAAACGTGATTGTCATGTTTTTTCTTCTATTTTAGGGCACGTAATGTTATTCATCCCACAAAGATCCTCTAATCGATTGAAAACTATGTTCRTTGTCGGCGGATCTACGTCGTGTCCATATCCCCTCGCTTGTATCAGTTTACAGTCATCAAAGCCTYTCAAAATATCGGACATAGAGGGTTCCAACAAGAGGCCGGGGATTCTTTGGACCGTAATGTTCATATCTCTAGCTGCAATCCCAAGATAGGCATCGTCTGTGTGAAATGGTCGCCTTCGACGAACATAATTAAACAATTTGTTCAAAATATCTGTGGAAAGTACGTAGAAAGCTCCAGCACARAAMGTRGGGAAAWWMTCTTCACTGWAATATTTCTTGCTAATGGCCCATTTTCCCTTGGGGTCTCTATCCACTTGGAAGTTGAAGTAAGGCGCACCTCCATAGAATGGTTTAGGATARCCTTGTGTCATAAAGAAGTCGATAAGTGAAGGTATTTGAACATAAACATCGTCGTCTGTCTTCAGAATATAGCGTACATTCATTGATGATACCCACAGTTTCCCCATAAACATCTTAATAACATTGTTGATATAAATGTCTTSAAAGTCACCTATCAAAACATCATTGTGCATTTTGGCTTCTTCWGCATTTGCTTTATCATCAGCATATTCTCCTGCTTTTCCTAACGAAAACACTAAGATCCATTTATGATTTCTGAGCTTCGCACTTTGTAGTAGTTCACATTTTGTCATATGTTTTGCCCAAGTTTTTCTGACGGCTTCGCGACGCAGTCTGTATTTTTCTCCTCGGGCGGCCGAATTAACGACAACAACTAGGAAAAAATCTCTTTCTCCTTTCAAATCTGGCATCGTTTCTGGCCATACGAAAAAAAAGTCGACAAAAGGATAATAATCATTCTCCATGTCCACAAGTTTCTCAGTCGTTGTTAACTGGGCTGTAGGCATTGCTTTGGAAGAGTTAACAGACCTTGTAAATTGGAGTTGCGGGGTTTTTTGTGTTTCGTTTATGATGGTGTTTTTCTTGTTTGGGAAGCTTTCAAATCGAGATTGAGTAGATAAAACCCTTTGAATTCYCAAAATAGTATTAATTTTCCGATTTTCAGAGAAGTTTTGGCGATTCTGGGTTTCTTTAGTTTCTTTTTCTTCTTCAAATCTTTGTAAATAGTCGTTTTTTTTCGAACTCAGCGACCACAAAATAAGCAGCTGTGATAAGCAGRCGAGAAGACTTAAGATCACCAACAGCAGTTTTACACCTCCTAAGCGGAATTGGAATTGGAAATTCATCTTGAGTTAGCACATGCAATAGAAAATCATGCGGCACAACCCAATCAAGGATACTCGCAGATTACTAATTTCAGTCATGCAGTTAGCCTCTACACTCAATTGTAAAATCACAGTCAGGTTCAAAAGAATAGACAATAAGCCAAAACCGAAATGGTACACGGGAAGG